TATATCTATATAGGTTGAACAAAATTTAGACGTCAATAGAATCACCAAATAGTTTTAAACAAGTCTGGTGACTTGAACAAACCCTTGAAGTTACAATTACAGATATTCTGGATATTGTGTGATTGAAACAAGCCTAAGTCAATCATTTGACATGTTCTTTAAACGTTTCCAGAGTTCACTTTGACAACTATTGTGAAATGCTAGCGCTCTAACCTGACCCACGTGGGTCAAGTTAGGGAACCACAATTTTATTCTTTAACTGTGGTTTATTCGTTGACTGTCTAATAAATTTATTTTGAGGGCATTTACAGAATAATGAATGAAAAATTCAAAACTAAGAAATGAAAATTTTGCCTGTGTCTCTCTATAAATTGTCGAAATTTACAAGTACTTTTGAAAAGTGTTGACAACATTATTGCAAAACTATTAACGATGAAGTTTGGCAATGAAATAGAATTATATGTTTTATGTCTACACCGTACTGAAGATATTATAGTATATACATATATTTGTACATCAGGATTTATATGTAGCGAAAAAGGTAAGGAACATAATGTCAAATTTTGCCGTTAATTATTCGAAGTACAAACATGTCCGCGTTATGATTTAGAAACATAAAACATTTTTCTCAAGAATGTGTTAATTTTTGAAAAACTCGATACAATGAATTAATATGTGTACCAAACTCCTTTGGAGATATTTAAGTGATGATATTTTTTAAATTAGCTCTTATATGTAGTTTAATTTTGCAATTAGGATTGATATGTGTTAATGCTAAAATGACTAAATTGCGGCTTTGAGATATGATTACAGTTTCTTATGTCCATAGATTTAAATGTGTGTTCAGCAAAGCATGAAAATTACACGAAATTGCACGGTTTTAGCAATTAAAATATTAGACAAATCTGTCTTATATTTTTACAATACAAGAGCGATCAGTGATCACATGTGTCGCCTCAAGATGGCCAATTTCATGTTTGGACAAGTTTTGTGACAGACGGACAGACAAACGGGCAGTGCACAACTAGACTTGGTACTGATCATTCCTGTAAAGTTTGGACGAAATTGCACCAGTAGATTATGAGGAGTAGTCCCGACAAGTTTTGTGACGGACGGACAGATAGACAGACGGATAGACAGACAGACGACGGAGAAGTGATCCCTATATGTCGCCACTACTCCGTAGAGGCGAAACAAGTCAGTGTTTTCTTTGCTTTCTTTTTTGACACTAAAAGCACCTAAAATCATTTTTCAAAGACGACTATGCAAAAATGTGTTACTAAAATATAGATAAATACAGAATCCCTAAAGAAAGCCCAACACGGCAAAATTGAAAATGTTGCAGGCTCGGTTTGATTGAGCCTGTTCATGGACGGTACTTGAAAGTGCAAGTTACCATCCATGCCCCCTAGCACCAGCTTAAGCAGAATTCAACATTAATACGTGAAATAGTAAAATTTTGAATTTAGAAACATCCGCAGATGTGTTCATACGGCGGTTATCATGGACCCCTCAATGTGACACTTCAGTGCCATTCCATGAAAAGCGGCGTATGGTCCCCAAGTAATAAAAAGCGTGTGCCCTAAACGAGAAAACAATGGGCGGAACTAAATAAAATGGAATTTTGAAAGGGGATCAGAGGTTATGAACACTAAAAACTTGTTTAATGGTTTTCTTTTTGTCAAAAGCCTGCCAACCATGACAAGGTCGAAAACCATCTGGCAGGATTTTTTTTCTTTTTTTTTTCTCTTTTTTTTTTTTTCATTTTTTAAATCTTTCATTTTTTTCTTTTATTTCTCAATTTTTTCATTTTTTTTGCATTTCTGTTATAACTCTTTTCATCTCGTCTTCATTATTTAATTATAAATGTGTGTTCAGCAAACTCTTTTCATCTCGTCTTCATTATTTGATTATAAATGTGTGTTCAGCAAAGCATTAAAATTACACGAAATTGCACGAATTTCGCAATTAAAATAAAAGAAAAAACTCTGTCTTATATTTTTACAATAAAATCAGTGTTTTATTTGCTTTCTCTTTGACACTAAAAACACCTAAAATCATTTTTCAAAGACGACTATGCAAAAATGTGTTACTTGAAACTTGTTTAATGGTTTTCTTTTTGTCAAAAGCCTGCCAACCATGACAAGGTCGAAAACCATCTGGCAGGATTTTTTTTCTTTTTTTTTTCTCTTTTTTTTCATTTTTTAAATCTTTCATTTTTTTCTTTTTTTTCTCATTTTTTTCATTTTTTTTGCATTTCTGTTATAACTCTTTTCATCTCGTCTTCATTATTTAATTATAAATGTGTGTTCAGCAAACTCTTTTCATCTCGTCTTCATTATTTGATTATAAATGTGTGTTCAGCAAAGCATTAAAATTACACGAAATTGCACGAATTTCGCAATTAAAATATAAGAAAAAACTCTGTCTTATATTTTTACAATAAAATCAGTGTTTTATTTGCTTTCTCTTTGACACTAAAAACACCTAAAATCATTTTTCAAAGACGACTATGCAAAAATGTGTTACTTGAAACTTGTTTAATGGTTTTCTGTTTGTCAAAAGCCTGCCAACCACGACAAGGTTGAAAACCATCTGGCATTATTTTTTTCTTCTTTTTTTCTTTTTTTCTTCTTTTTTTCTGTTTTTTTTTTTATATTTATTTTTCTTTTCTTTTTTTTATATATTTTTTTTTTTTTTTTTTTTTTTCGTTTTTTTTTCCTTTTTTTTTCTTTTTTTTTTTAAATTCTTTATTTTCTTTCATTTTCTTTTTATTTTGCATTTTTGTTATAATTCTTTTTATCTTTTCTTCATTATATAATTATTTATGTGTGTTCAGCAAAGCATGAAAATTACACGAAATTGCACAAATTTTGACAAACTATGTCTTATATTTTTACAATAAAATTAATGTCTTTTTTGCTTTCTTTTTTGATACTACAAGCACCTAAAATAATTTTTCAAAGACGACTATGCAAAAATGTGTTACTAAATACTTGTTTAATGGTTTTCTATTGGACAAAAGCCTGCCAACGACGACAAATTTGAACACCATCTGGCAGGATTTTTTTCTTTTTTTTTTCTCTCTTTTTATATTTTATTTATCTTTTTTTCTTTTTGTTTAATTCTTTTGTTTTTTATTCTTTTTTTCTTTTTTTCTAATTTTTTTCTCTCTTTATTTTGCATCTGTGTTATAACTCGTTTCATCTTTTCTGATTTTGTGTCGCCTAAACGGAGTAGTGGCGACATATAGGGATCACTTCTCCGTCGTCTGTCTGTCCGTCTGTCTGTCTGTCCGTCCGTCACAAAACTTGTCCGGACTACTCCAAATAAACTGCTGGTGCAATTTCGTCCAAACTTTACAGGAATGATCATTACCAAGTCTTGTTGTGCACAGTGCACATTGTCAGCATTTTCCGGTTCAATGATTTTTGTCAGAGTTATGGCCCTTTAATAATTTTTATTTTTGAAGTTTATCCGGACTACTTCTCTTATACCACTAATGCAATTTCAATGAAACTTTACAGGATTGATCTGTAGTTCAAGTCCTTGCGCGTATTGCACGGGTTTTCCGGTTGAATGATTTTTGGCCGAGTTATGGCCCTTTGATAAAAAGGTGTTTTTTTCTGTGCGTTGCCACATACACAAAAGCTTGTCCGGACTACTCCTCAAAAACTACTGGTGCAATTTTATCCAAACTTTACAGGAATGATCAGTACCAAGTCTAGTTGTGCATTGTCCGTCTGTCTGTCCGTCTGTCACGAAACTTGTCCCAACATGAAATTGTCCATCATGAGGCGACAAATGTGGTCACTGATCGCTCTTGTATTGTAAAAATATAAGACAGATTTGTCTTATATTTTAATTGCAAAATTCGTGCAATTTCGTGTAATGTTCATGCTTTGATGAACACACATTTAAATCTATGGACATAAGAAACTGTAATCATACCTCAAAGCCTAATTTAGTCATTTTTAGCATAGAGAGGAAGTTTCAACAAAATTTTGTCATCGCAAGATAAATTCATTAAAAGGCAGTTGTTCATAAAGAATATGACCTTATTATGCAACAATATCATTTTTTTATCAAATATTTGGTAATAAAACATATTTTTGTTTAATACGACAGATATATTTCAATCGTGTTCGTTTTCCGAATTGATTTAACACATATCAATCCTAATTGCAAAATTAAACTACATATAAGAGCTAATTAAAAAAAAATATCATAACTTAAATATCTAAATATAAAGTAGTTTGTTACACATTATTTCATTGTATCGAGTTTTGCAAAAGTTAACACCTTTTTGAGAAAAATGTTGTAAGTTTCTAAATCAAAACGCAGACATGTTTGTACTTCGAATAGTTAGCGGCAAACCTTGACATTATGTTCCTTACCTTTTTCGCCACATATAAATCCTGATGCTTGAACACTTTTCAAAAGTACTTGTAAATTTCGACAATTTATAGGGAGACACAGGCAAAATTTTCATTTCTTAGTTTTGAATTTTTCATTCATTATTCTGTAAATGCCCTCATAATAAATATATTAGACAGTCAACGGAACAAAACTTATCTCTAAAGAATAAAATGGTGGTTTCCTAACTTGACCCACGTTGGTCAGGTTGGAGCGCTAGCATTTCACAATAGTTATCAAAGTGAACTCTTTAAAGAACATGTCAAATGAATGACTTACTAAAAGGCTTGTTTCAATCACACAATATCGACACTGTCTGTTATTGTAACTTCAAGGGTTTGTTCAAGTCACCTGACTTGTTTAACCCATTAGCGCCTGTTGTCTACTTTTGTAGACACTAGCAGTTATCAGTACACTAGGACCTAATTATGAGCGCACATTTGTTTATCATTATTATTCTATACTTGTTGTCATGATAAGCGTTAATTGGACTATTTTGCTAGACAAAATGCAGACCACTACGTTATTTGCAGTGTGTTTTCAACAAGAATGTAATAAAAATTGCCTTGAAAATATTATTGAAAATGGCTAGCAGAAACAGGTATGTAAAACTTTATATTGTTTTTATTTTATATCATAAAGTATGATTGTTTTATATTGTATAATTATATTTCTGCTCAATTCCTGTTTTATAATTCAGAAATATGTATAAAATGTGTTATGACAGTCAATTTAGATTTTGTCTACAAAAGTAGACAATAGGATCAAATGGGTACGTTTTATCATTATGAAAATATTTTGTTGTTTACAGAAGATACACAGTAAATGAAATCATATTAATGCTTGAGGATGAAGGTAACTTTGAAAGGGCAGATATACATGTTCAACCACCTCCTGTAGATGAACTGACAGATGAAGATAGTGCAAGTGAAGATGAAGAAGTAGGTTACAACAACCTCAGTGGACGTCAGTTAGACCAACAAGCAACAGCGACAGTTATTCGCCTAGATGGACGTCATGTTGTTGATTCAGCACCAGACTCCGATCTAGTTAGTAATAAATAAATAAAATAAATAAATGAAATAAATAAATAATAAATAGATAAATAAATAAATACGAAGCAAGTAAGTAAATAATGTACAGTAAATCCAGTTGAGAATAAGATTTTTTATATTTATCATATTTTATTTTTCAGGAAACTGACCATTCTTCAGATTCTTCTGATACAGATGAATAAGAAGTGCCTGCAAATATTGCAAAAAGACCTCAAGTAAGAATTTCACTACGGGATCCAGCTCCGCGTCCCAAACGACCTGCACCAGTAAAGAGGAAGTGGGAAAATAAAGATCTACCTGAGCAAGATAAAGACAGATTCACTTGGCATGGCTCAAATATAGACAAAAGTCGATGGCCGCAAACACCAGATGGCATCTTCAACTTATTTTTTGATGATGACGTGATCAACATGATTGTTGAACAGAGTATAAGATATGCTGGTTCAAAAGGCAACCATTCGTTTTCAACTTCACCCCAAGAAATTAGGATCTTCCTAGCAATTCTGCTTATATCAGGCTATAACACTGTGCCAAGACGGAGACAGTTCTGGAGCCGGGATGATGACGTAAGGAATGAGGCAATAGCTCGTACAATGCCGCGAGACAGATACGACATATTGGTGCGATAACAACAATCTTGACAGGGAGGACAAGTTTAGCAAAGTAAGACCACTGCTATGTCTGCTGAATGAGCGCTTCTTGTTATACTTCTTGAAAGAGAAAAACCTTTCAATCGACGAAAGCATGATCCCGTACTATGGGCGACACGGAGCGAAACAGTTTATTCGTGGGAAACCAATTAGGTTCGGTTATAAGATGTGGGCGTTAACGACAGCACTTGGATATGTTTTACAATTTGAGCCCTATCAAGGGGCAAAAGGCCACCAAACCCATGATCCTGGCTTCCTTGGAATGGGCGGAGCAGTAGTTATGGACCTGCTTTCAGAGCTGCAGAAAGATGATGCATACCATCTGACTTTTGATAATCTATTTACTTCCCTGAGGCTCGTGGACCGGCTTACAGATATGGGAATATCTTGCACAGGAACCATCCGTGCCAACCGAATAGAAGATTGTCCTGTCAAAAATGTAAAAGACATTGGAAAACGCAACGAGGAAACTATGATAAAAGGTATGACGCACACAAAGGTCTGATAGTGGTGAGGTGGAATGACAACAATATAGTAAATGTGGTGTCAAATTGCCATGGAGTTGAACCATTGCAACAAGCAACACGGTGGTCAAAGCAGGCAAAAGCTAGGGTGCGCCTTCCGCAGCCATACCTTATAAAGCATTACAACCAGACAATGGGAGGTGTGGACAGGATGGATCAAAATGTTGAGAAGTATCGTATCTCTATCAGATCCAAGAAGTGGTGGTGGCCAGTGTTTATGTATTGCATTGACCTTGCGGTGCAGCAGACCTGGCACATTTACCGTGCTACTGATGCAGGATTGAGGCAACCATTAGATCTGTTAGGTGTCAGACGAGCTCTGGTTACTGTGCTGCTTGCTCAGGGGCGTACACCTGCTGTCAGCCCTGGCAGACCAAGAGGTAGGATGAGGCCATTGTCAAGAAGAATTCCAGACCATATCCGACTTGATGGTAAAAATCATTACGCAAAGCCAGCAAAAGAAGTGCGCTGTTCATTGTGTGGAAAAAAATGCAGGACACAATGTTTCAAATGTAATGTTGGAGTGCGCAGGAAATGCTTTGAAATGTTTCACAGTGTTTAGGTATTCATACGATCAAAGCCAAAAGACATGAACAATAATAATTCATATTCAGAATGAATTTCAGAGTGAACACTTCTGTGCCTAATGTCTACTTTTGTAGGAAAGGTAATAGAAAAATTGCCTGTATAAACTTTAAGGATTTTTTCAAGTAAAAGTTATCAAATAAACCAACAATAGGTTATCTGGACATATATTCTATATGTGTTTTACATATACCCATTTGCGCCTGTTGTCTACTTTTGTAGACAAAATATTAAAACACTAAAATAAAAAATACAGTACTTATATTTGAAAAATAAACGGATATATGTTATAACTATATGGTTACTATATGTTTTATACATTTCTTATATAAAAATAAAATTCCGGCACAAATGGGTTAAAACTATTTGGTAATTCTATCGGCGTCTAAATTTTGTTCAACATATATAGATATATTTATGCATCAAACCAAACATATATAGAATTTAAACAGAAATTCATGCTGAAACTTCAAGAAAAACTCATTTTAGCTTGATTTGAGTGCATTAGATCATTTTAATATTTTTGACATTATATTGCCTGAATATCATGAATGTATATCACAGAGTTTTGCTCCAAAAATTTGCAAAAGCACAGTTGTTTCAGATAATGTAAATGCGCTGGTTTTCAATAAACATCATTCCATTATCATATTTGCAATAACAATATTTTTAACCATAGATTTTATATGCATATTTCTGAATTGAATCCCTGCATGTGAATCCATATAGACAAAGATAAACATTATAATGTCTATGAGTATAATCTCAAAAAATCTGATATTATAGCGAGTATTTTATTGCCAAACTAGTTTCTATTGAAAACTGGTTGTGAAAAAATTGCAACAAAATGATGTCATCGCAAGGCGTTTTGCAACAATGTTATCATTAAATTCTGAAAAACACTGGTAAGTTTCGACCTTGTAACAAGGTCATGTAAGAATATCATCAACAGTTGTTGTTGAACATGTAATGCCCTGATATTTCAAGATGATCATTATTCCATCAAAAATACTAAAAGAAAATAAAGCAACTTTTAGAATGTTATAATCATATACATGTATACAATACTCCCGAATATAAGCCCTGCATGCAAGTTCTTATTTACACATAAGAAATTTATAATGTCAACGGTATAATCTCAATCAAATCCGATAGAAAAAAATATTTTATTGCAAAACTCGTTTTTATTGCAAAACCGGTTGTAATCAAATTGCAATAAAATCATGTCAACGCAACCAGTGTTGCAATAAAATTATTGCAAAACTCGTTTTTTTTCTTTCACCAAAGAATTGGTAAGTTAAGACCTTACTAAAAGTTCTTGTATGTATATCACCGAAATTTGAGCAAATACAGTTGTTGCTGTAAATGTACATGTCCTGATATTTCATGATGATCATCTTTACATCATATATATAAAAAGGAAAAAGACTAATGAAATTGAGAATGTAAATTAATGTTTGATGATATGCATCTACACTCATTATCCCAGAATTAATTCCTGCATGTCAATCCTAATATACATATATAAATTTCATAATGTCTTTTGTATAATGTCAATGAAATCCGATAGAAAAATATTTTATTGCAAAACTCGTTTTTATTGCAAAACCGGTTGTAATCAAATTGCAATAAAATCATGTCAACGCAACCAGTTTTGCAATAAAATTATTGCAAAACTCGTTTTTTTTCTTTCATCAAAGAACTGGTAAGTTAAGACCTAACTAAAAGTTCTTGTATGTATATCACCGAAATTTGAGCAAATACAGTTGTTGCTGTAAATGTACATGTCCTGATATTTCATGATGATCATCCTTTCATCATATATATTAAAAGGAAAACGACTAATGAAATTGAGAATGAAAATTAATGTTTGATCATTATTATGCATATACACTCATTATCCCAGAATTAATTCCTGCATGTCAATCCTAATATACATAGATAAATTTTATAATGTCTATTATATAATGTCAATAAAATCCGATAGAAAAATATTTTATTGCAAAACTCGTTTTTATTGCAAAACCGGTTGTAATCAAATTGCAATAAAATCATGTCAACGCAACCAGTTTTGCAATAAAATTATTGCAAAACTCGTTTTTTTTCTTTCACCAAAGAATTGGTAAGTTAAGACCTTACTAAAAGTTCTTGTATGTATATCACCGAAATTTGAGCAAATACAGTTGTTGCTGTAAATGTACATGTCCTGATAGTTCATGATGATCATTCTTTCAACATATATATTAAAAGAAAAACGACTAATGAAACTGAGAATGTAAATTAATGTTTGATCATATGCATATACACTCATTATCCCAGAATTAATTCCTGCATGTCAATCCTTATATACATAGATAAATTTTATAATGTCTTTTGTATAATGTCAATAAAATCCGATAGAAAAAATATTTTATTGCAAAACTCGTTTTTATTGCAAAACCGGTTGTAATCAAATTGCAATAAAATCATGTCAACGCAACCAGTTTTGCAATAAAATTATTGTAAAACTCGTTTTTATTTCTTTCATCAAAGAACTGGTAAGTTAAGACCTTCCTAAAAGTTCTTGTATGTATATCACCGAAATTTGAGCAAATACAGTTGTTGCTGTAAATGTACATGTCCTGATATTTCATGATGATCATCCTTTCATCATATATATTAAAAGGAAAACGACTAATGAAATTGAGAATGTAAATTAATGTTTGATCATATGCATATACACTCATTATCCCAGAATTAATTCCTGCATGTCAATCCTAATATACATAGATAAATTTTATAATGTCTTTTGTATAATGTCAATAAAATCCGATAGAAAAAATATTTTATTGCAAAACTCGTTTTTATTGCAAAACCGGTTGTAATCAAATTGCAATAAAATCATGTCAACGCAACCAGTTTTGCAATAAAATCAAAATTCTTTTTTTTTTCTTTCAGCAAAGAACTGGTAAGTTAAGACCTTACTAAAAGTTCTGGTATGTATATCACCGAAATTTGAGCAAATACAGTTGTTGCTGTAAATGTACATGTCCTGATATTTCATGATGATCATCCTTTCATCATATATATTAAAAGGAAAAAGACTAATGAAATTGAGAATGTAATTTAATGTTGATCATATGCATATACACTCATTATCCCAGAATTAATTCCTGCATGTCAATCCTAATATACATAGATAAATTTTATAATGTCTTTTGTATAATGTCAATAAAATCCGATAGAAAAAATATTTTATTGCAAAACTCGTTTTTATTGAAAAACCGGTTGTAATCAAATTGCAATAAAATCATGTCAACGCAACCAGTTTTGCAATAAAATTATTGTAAAACTCGTTTTTTTTCTTTCATCAAAGAACTGGTAAGTTAAGACCTTACAGTTCTTGTATGTATACGACCGAAATTTGAGCAAATACAGCTGTTGCTGTAAATGTACATGTCCTGATATTTCATGATGATCATCCTTTCATCATATATATTAAAAGGAAAACGACTAATGAAATTGAGAATGTAAATTAATGTTTGATCATATGCATATACACTCATTATCCCAGAATTAATTCATGCATGTCAATCCTAATATACATATATAAATTTTATAATGTCTTTTGTATAATGTCAATGAAATCCGATAGAAAAAATATTTTATTGCAAAACTCGTTTTTATTGAAAAACCGGTTGTAATCAAATTGCAATAAAATCATGTCAACGCAACCAGTTTTGCAATAAAATTATTGCAAAACTCGTTTTTTTTCTTTCACCAAAGAATTGGTAAGTTAAGACCTTACTAAAAGTTCTTGTATGTATATCACCGAAATTTGAGCAAATACAGTTGTTGCTGTAAATGTACATGTCCTGATAGTTCATGATGATCATTCTTTCAACATATATATTAAAAGAAAAACGACTAATGAAACTGAGAATGTAAATTAATGTTTGATCATATGCATATACACTCATTATCCCAGAATTAATTCCTGCATGTCAATCCTTATATACATAGATAAATTTTATAATGTCTTTTGTATAATGTCAATAAAATCCGATAGAAAAAATATTTTATTTGCAAAACTCGTTTTTATTGCAAAACCGGTTTGTAATCAAATTGCAATAAAATCATTTCAACGCAACCAGTTTTGCAATAAAATTATTGTAAAACTCGTTTTTATTTCTTTCATCAAAGAACTGGTAAGTTAAGACCTTCCTAAAAGTTCTTGTATGTATATCACCGAAATTTGAGCAAATACAGTTGTTGCTGTAAATGTACATGTCCTGATATTTCATGATGATCATCCTTTCATCATATATATTAAAAGGAAAACGACTAATGAAATTGAGAATGTAAATTAATGTTTGATCATATGCATATACACTCATTATCCAGAATTAATTCCTGCATGTCAATCCTAATATACATAGAAAAATTTTATAATGCCTTTTGTATAATCTCAATAAAATCCGATCGAAAAAATATTTTATTGCAAAACTCGTTTTTATTGCAAAATCGGTTGTGATCAAATTGCAATAAAATCATGTCACCGCTACCAGTTTTGCAATAAAATTATTGCAAAACTCGTGTTTTTTTTTTCTTTCATCAAAGAACTGATAAACAAAGACCTTATTAAAAGTTCATGTATGTATATCACCGAAATTTAAGCAAATACAGTTGTTGCTGTAAATGTACATGTCCTGATATTTCATGATGATCATCCTTTCATCATATATATTAAAAGAAAAAAGATGAATGAAATTGAGGATGTAAATCAATGTTTGATCATATGCACATATATTCATTATCCCCGAATATAATTCCTGCATGTCAATCCTAATATACATAGATAAATTTTATAAAGCCTTTTGTATAATCTCAATAAAATCCGATAGAAAAAATATTTTATTGCAAAACTCGTTTTTAGTGCAAAACCGGTTGAAATCAAATTGCAATAAAATCATGTCAACAGTCATGTTTTAGTAATCAATTTGATACATTACTTATATAATACAATACAATATATTTACTTTTGAGAAAAGACACATAATTAATTAAAAATATGATGAAGTTACTGACACTGACATGTTTAAGACAAGACACGTGTTGCTGTGATGCTTTTCCATGTTTACAAAGTATCAGGCAATACATGTCAGCGTATTTCTATCATATTCAGAAGTCAATTGTGTTATACATAAACATCGATTAAATATCATCAAAGAAGTTCTTTGCTAACATGAAATGTATTTTTACTTAAATTTGTATAATGTTAATATATGTGTTGCATATTAAAAACACTTACACGTACACATATACAGAATATTGTAAAGATATTCGGTTCTAAAAAATAAAGTAGAAAATTAAGATTTAGATTACGTCATGTGTTCTTGAGTTGCAGAAATTTGTAACAGCACGATTAACCGATCTGACGGGATCATATACCAGAAACCCTTTATATCAATAGCTTTATCCAATGTTGCGGACTACTATAGAAATGCACTGTGCAGAAAATATTATATCATATGCATACAACTTTACGAACGAAAGTGGTATCGATTTTTGTTCCTATTTATTTAAATCATAATGTGTACATTTGAGGTAATGGCAATAATACTTATTTTCATGATCGTTGTCGACATATTGTTTTGTCGTAATTATTATAAAATGTATAGTATTGCGACATAAACGTATAAATACACTCATTAAAGCCTACTGATACATGTTTGAAATAAAGGCACAAGCCTACAATTTGAAATGATTTTTTAAAACAGAAAATTACATCATGATGAATAACTAAATAAAACTATAATAAAATGCACGAATATATAAATTACATGTTTTCTTGTTCTTTTTTTTTCCTTTCTTTCTTTGGTGGTTGGAGGGGATAATTGTACTTAATTATACCTTTTACAAACAAAAATGCTTTCTTTTTTAGACGTGTTGATAATGACAAAACCTCACAGATCCACGTCGAGTCATGGTCTTCTCTGGTTATATTGTAAATCTGAAGTTCGACAATGATTCCATCCTCTTCAGTTTTTTGGCAGTTACATGTACAACTGTATCTCCCATTTTCCGGATTTAATGACAACATATCACATGTCTGATTATAAATACAGCTATAACCCAAATTTTCTTGCATCCATGAAATTATGGAAAACATTGAGCTTTTGAGCATGCATTTGAAAGAGACAGAGCTGTTTTCTACCTTGTCGTTTATTTCTGGTTGTATAAAATGTTCGATTGAAGTTTCACCTATCAATATAGAAAAAGATCATTTGTTACATGCTTTCAATAATATACGAAGGCGATTTGGGAAAAATAAGTGGTAGTGATAGTAAACCGTTATAGAATAGAACGCGAAATCCTTGATAAATATGCACGCTGTATAACTGAATTTTTGTTTTTAACAATAACATTATAAATGTTTTTATTTTTCATCCATCTTAATAATAAAATAAATGCTTACGTAAAATATATGATCGCAAAGAAAAAAATCAGTTATAACTAACAAAGCTTACCAACCATAAAACTTAGTTATTCCAAATTGTAATACATTTGATTCAATTAAGGAATGTTGACGGTAACATATAAACAATATGTCAAAATGGGGATCAATTAACAAATCAGAACCAATTTTCCGATACAAAGAATTGTCTTATGCAGTCTGAAAGCAAATACCTTGCATTCCTTTGAAAAGTGATTGAAATACATTTCATCATCTATCATCTAAATATTTAATTTTAGTGTCACAATTTTCAGTTAAGGAGTTTAACATACATGTATGAGCACAAACCAGAAATAATTATGAAATATGGATTTTGATACATGCACACTTGAGCAAATATGGCTTTATTATTTATTATACATCTTTAATGGCATATATTTGAAATGAATAGTTTTAATATCAAATAATTTAAAAACTAAATACTGTTATTGAATATTAATACTTAGTCGCAAAATATTCCTTATATTTAACATGTTAACAAAGAAACTAAAAACAACGGCTACATATCAAGCGTTATCATAACATACATGTATTTAAGCATTTGTTACAGAAACTGTTTAGGATAAAGACACCACTGTATTTGTTCATTAAAATTATGGCACTCAAAGATAATGTTATGAACTATTAAAAAACACTCTGCGACCAATAATACTACATGGTACGATAGATGCAGCATTTTAAAATAATTTCAAAAACATCTTTACTTTTTACCTTCAACTAAGAATACAATGCACAACACAAGAAAGGAAAAAACCTTTAACAATATATCCATCATAGTTTATTGTAATGGTTTTGAATTTAGAACAATTATTGTTACACTTCAAAGTCGATTCGACACCTTAGCACACATCTTATGAAACATAAGGTAGCGCTCACTCGCTAAATACTTCCTTGATTATATTTTCCCGTTTATGAATAAAGTTTCGGGTGATTTGAACGCTTTATTAAATTAACATTATGCTGATTTTTTCATTGTGCAATTAAGCTGTATTGACTCTATATTTCTATTGATGGAGTGCTATACAGGTAATCGACCAACAGTTGATAGTAGAAAATGTTATAAATCGGTCCAAAATATATAAAAAAAAAAAATCCCTTGGAAGCAATAATCACAACAAAATAACATAAAAATGCAGACTCAGTAGTAGTTAAATTACGGCGGATATTTACAGCAATTTCCTCAGGTCACACGAGTTATTATTAAGTTTAATTAGTAAATTATAAAATTGTAAGTAATAATTACACAATATAAACGTATTTTAACTTTAACCTGTTCAATGATGATACCTACCTAGGGATGGGCATACTGTCGCTTTAATATACGTTTTTATTATACAACAGTGAAGAAGTACAACACGAAGTAAATGCATTAAAACGAAAACAAACAAAAATGACTGATGATATTTACACTGTTCTATAAGTAATGTCCACTTTAGATATGTCTTATCAGTGTCTGTCATATAAAGAGTATGTATAGTTTATGTTTTGTATTGATTGTATATTTGTGTTGAAGTTGACATTAAGATGTTTACCGGGTTCAAATTTAGATATGGAAACATCTAGTGCTTTATAATGGATAAAATTTGAATATATAACAGTTTTGTTCACTAATGATCAAGTAAGTCTGTTTATGTTTATCATATCAATAACGTAACAAGAAGTTTTAAAAAATACCATTATCTTACTATAAGAAATGGCTTAGGGGAGAAACGCTCCTGTGAAACACAGCTTATTGAACTAACAGACTCCCTTGTCAACAACATTTCAGCAGGGAAACAAACAGATCTTATTCTCCTTGACTTTAGTAAAGCCTTTGATAAAGTAAATCATCGTAAACTTATCCTTACCCTCCAAGAAAACGGTGTCTCCTACAAATTCTCAATTGGACACGTTCCTTCCTGATAGGTCGGAGCCAAACTGTTGTACTGGAAGATGAACACTCTACAGAAGTCCCTGTAAACTCTGGTGTCCCCCAAGGCTCCGTCCTCGGCCCACTCTGCTTCCTGATCTACATTAATGAACTTCCATCTTCTGTCTCCAAGTCCCAAATTCGCCTCTTTGCTGATGACACTGTGGTTTACATTACTATAAACTCGTCTTCAGACTCACAATCCCTCCAGGAGGATCTTGATAAGATGCAAATATGGGAAAGGGAGTGGGACATGGAATTCAACCCCTCAAAATGTCAAGTCCTTCACATCACTAAAAACAAAAAAGTCATCAACAACAAGTACTTCCTTCATGGCCAAGCTTTAACATCAGTTCCTAGCTCAAAATACCTTGGCCTTGACTTGTCCACAGACCTGAACTACAACACACATATCTCAAGAATTACATCAAATGCAAACAAAACCCTAGGATTCATAAAACGAAATATCAATACAAAAAATGAAAAAGTAAAACAACTAGCTTATAAATCCCTAGTAAGACCCCAGTTAGAATACGCATCAACTGTTTGGAGCCCCTACACACAATCAAACATCCAAAAAATAGAGAAAGTCCAAAGACGAGCGATACGCTGGGTAAAACAGGATTACTCCCCTTTGTCATCAGTTACAGCCATGCAGAAAGATCTTGGCTGGCGTTCTCTCGAGCATCGCAGACTAGACTTTAGACTTATTATGTTTTTTAAAATTTACCATAACCTAGTAGCCATTAGCCTTCCCACCTACATTAAAACTCCATCTAGGCTTACTAGACATATGCATCCCCTCTCTCTTAGGAAAATACAGGTTACATCAGACTACCATAAGTTCTCCTTCTTCCCCCACTGTATCACACTTTGGAACCAGCTCCCAAGGAACATTGTCACCCTGCCTGATCTAGATCAATACAAACAGGCAGTGGTTAAGATACAGTATTAGTTGACTTGTTGTGTTTTTACTTTTAAATCTTTCTTTCACCCTTACTAACAAAAATATTTTAACAATGACTAGAAGTTTTCAATGTCTCTCACTGTCCTGATCATGTTCATTTTCAGGTTTTTACTTTCTCTCACACCTTTTACAAACACACCGACGCGCACAATTTCCTGCCTATAACACTCGCGAGAGGGGTTGGCAGTATTCAGAGATAGATAGATAGATAGATAGAAAAACATTTAAAAGTTGTTCACAAAATGACAGAACGTAAGAAATCATAGTAAAAAACACGGTGAATGCGGATTCGTCTGCAATAACTTTAACATAATTCAAAGTATAACTGTTATAACAGAAAACTGAAACAGTAAAAGTTAGCCGTGTAAACAGTAGACTGAATTGATACTTTTATATTTTACACGACTAATGGGACTATGTGATGTATTGAGAATCTTTAGACGTTAGTTGAATTAGGTACCACTAGTATGCCTCACATTATTGATCAAAAGCATAATGAATATGTAGTTGACATTCATAGTGTATTTATTATTGCACAACACAATACGATAGGTAATAAGATAATTTTTGTTCATATCGGGCACCGCATTAGACTGAATAACTTCTTCCTCTAAATACAGGTGTTTTTAGATTATGATGACAGGTAGTTGCCTTTGCGATCACTGCGGCCCGTCTGCGTGCTTAAATTAACTAATAATGGTAAGATATGAATATAGTTAAATATTCATTCTTTATGAATTATGCAGCTTTAAACTTGAAAACACACGGTCTGATTTGTTTGTTTGATTGGGTTTTACGTCACACCAACAAAGTATAGATCATATGGCGACGCTCCAGCTTTACTGGTGGAGGAAGACCTCAGGTGCCCTTTCGTTCATTATTAAAGCACGAACTGGCACACACACGGTCAGAAAAGCTACGTAAAAACTGCTCAGTACTCGTCTGTTTTCGTGTTGGTTTGACCTGATGTGTTTATTGTCAAAACTGGTGTATCCAAATATGATATCACTACCCTGATAAAAAATTGTCTACTATTATCTTGATCTATGTTTAAAAGAAAAATAAAACAAGTGATCATGTCTAGCTGATTAGATAAATTGTATCAATATTTATATAAAACATCGATATTTCATATATAAAATTGTGTCACGATATTTTAAATGGTGATGAGTCAATTTCTAAAATTAGAAACACGTTTCACCGCTGTTATTCAGGTCTGCTTATATGCATAAAGTACATCCGGGTACATGAACATAAGTGCAAATGCTTTTCGACTTTTTCAATTATATTTTGAACAGTACTTGATAATTTGCGTTTGTTAATCGTTAAGAAATAAATCAATTTATGTTCAAAACCGTTTTTTACGGCTCGGTCAAGCGATGTCCGACTTAGAAAAAAGTAAATTTTCGCTTTAAAACTCAATCTTTTTTTCCATACGTGTATAAACTGGTACATAAATAAGGTTGGAAACAGTAATCATTTCTGTTCAGATTGTACTCCATTTAGTGAAAATAGGTTGAACATTAACAAAATATTGGATTATAAATAAGGTCAATTGATAGTTCCGCTGATAAACCTTTCTGCATTTTCTTTATCAATAATACATATCTTTCGATTTATTTCATTAAAAATAATATGTTTTAAAAACATTTTGAATAAAAAAACAAAACATCTTAGTTATAAAAACATAGGCGTGGCCATGTATGTATAATATCCGAGCCACGCACCGACTGCCTGTGTTAAATATTGTGTTTTAATTGGTGTAGGTCCATTTGAGCGCCGGACTAAATACGGTCTTTGTTTGCATAAATATCATCAAGAGTCATCGTTATTGACCATCCTCATTATGTCCATGTCTCGAACAATCAATCGCAACAAGGGAAACTGTTTTACTCAATTTTTGTCCTACATATTGCGAAAAATAGAGAAAATCGGTATTCATTAGAAACGTCCGAAACGGCAAAATTGAAAAAAATTGCAGACTCGGATAAAATGAGTCTCTCTATGAATGGTAGTATTTATTGCAAGTCACTGTCCAAGGCCATGCAAGTTGAATCAACGAAACTTTGATAATACCGCAACTATACATGTATCTTAAAGTAACAAACTACATGTATTTGCTAAGATATCAAGGGATTCTCCTACAAGTATTATTACAATCTCATAGCTTATTGACATTTACTGCACTGAATATTTGCGTTCATGTCAATTGACACATGAATTTGGTATCTTCATCGTGCTGACTTTTATTTATAACGTTTTAAACGTCTTTCATTTTAGGTTAACGATGAATTATGTCCTGAAAGTATTTTGCTTTTTACAGTTGATAAAAGAATTTTACGGTATGTAAACATTTAAATTGTTATAATGTAACCTGTACATGTAAGCTATTGATACCATTGTTATGAATTAAAATTAGAATTGCAATAATTTACATAACGTACGATATCGTGGGAATTATTCCTGCAAAAATAATCAAATAAAAAAATAAACAATTAATTAAATAAAACAAATAAACAAAAAGAAAACAAATACATGCAATGATAATAAAAATACAAAGCGCATACTAGGCATGATATTCACGTCACATATAATCATAAACCATGCGTTTCATAACTAAAACTTGTTTAGAAAGATGTTTATTATCAAGGTACATTTGTTTTAGGATAAATGGTAATTTATTATGTCCCTTTCTGACGTTTTAGGTGATATCAAGCTATCATGTGACACTATTAACACACAAGTACCTGCAAATGTAACGTGTATATGTACATTCTCGGGGGATGGTATTTCTTGGTTTTACCCAAATGGTACCCATCTTGTGAACTGCCTACCATCTGTCGGATGTGTACCAATGATAAATGGCTTCGTATTTTCTATGAACGTGTCAGCATCAATATATAAGATGACAGTAATAAACTACAGTTATAGCGATTGCATATATTTTACATGCAATAACATAATTGACAGCAGTGTTAAGAAATCTGCAAGACCACAAGCTGCAGGTAAGTTTTTATTGCAACCTATCAATTCTTAATTTGCTTAATTTTGCCTGAAATGTACATACTTGCAAGTTGCAACACTAGCCAGTCAATATCACTATTATATCTCTGAAAATTACTACCAGTAGCATGTTGATGTCTGAAATTTTGCTCCTAGAAATTTAAGAAACGTTATTTTGTATTTTGCATAGTCCTACTCAATTAAATGTCGCATTTTGATTTTAAGAGCCAGTTTAAGGGCAGTATTGTCCATGAAGAAGCTCAATCTGAGACGAAAACTTCAATTTCAACAAAAAAAAAGTTTTTGACGTTCTTTGAGGATTTCCACTATTGTCTGTTGAATTAGAACAACAATTTTGAATCGTTGTTTTGTATTGGATATTTATAAAATGTCGTACTTTGCTATGTTTGGAACCAACTTAATTGGACTAGACACAATGTGTAACACATTGTACTGTTAAAATGGTAATGACCTAAACCTGAAATCACACACAAAACTATGTAAAATAATATTTTATTCAACAAGCAAACAATGCAAGAATATGGTAAAATAAGTAAAGCAATATGGTCATACTTTTCAAAACGTGATGGTACTTTCAAGCATTAAACCGTACTGTTGCAATGAAGGAGTATAAATGTAACACTGATATCCCAAAAGTCTATTTGTACTTCGCATTTCATTTGAGAGCTGCATGCCTCTCGATGAGCCAAAATATTTCAAAGATGTACTTAACTGTAAAATGTACTATTACATTAAAACAAAACAAAATTATTTACAATTAAAAATAAATCATTTTGTATGCAAGTAATGACTGATTTTGCGGTATTTAGAACCATATTTCTACTGCATGACTAATGTAGTAAGCGCTATTTTTACTTATATTTGGCCCACTTTGCGGCCATTTTCGTAGGTTTTAATTGCCAATAGTAAATTACTGTTTGGAAACACTTTACTTCTTATACATTTTGTCTTCCAGAATTTGATTTAACAACTCAGGTGTCACTCAATGAACCAAGTTCTAACTACTCAAGTGGTAACATTTCAATTACCATCGGCTGTGTTTATAAGTATTGGAAATTGAAAACCAAATGGTTCATTGTCAATGTGAGTTATTATTATCTTAGAGTTACGTTCATCTATATAAGCAGCACGTAGCTAAAGTATCAAAGAAAATCGGAACTGATGACTGTATGCATGTTGTTATGGAAATAAATGATAATTCATTTATGTATTTAGTTCCTGTTTTGATAGTATGCACAATAAGCTATAATTAATTAATTGAGTGGTGATAGTAAGGTGTTACAAGAGGTAGTCACGTTAAGGTTCAAGTAAATATAATGGAAACACTAAGGAAACAGTTATCTATGCATTTAGTTGATCTTAATCGGTTTGAGTTTTGTTCTATTTTTTTCAAATGCTCATTGACAAGTATATCCTTTTTTCAACAAGCAGCTACCTTTTATCTTGTGAGGAACTGTCTTACATAGCAGAAAAGTTGTAAAATAGACAAAATAAGCTTCTATATATATCGTCCAACGCATGGGTTGCCCAGAATTGCATAAACTATGCATCGGAGTAGCATCTTTCATGAAAACACCTTGAGATTTAAAAAAAAACAACAATCGCACGAATCATTAATTCATTGTGTTGTCCAAATTGTCACTCGGAACGTATGTCGAGAGTGAACAATGCTTGAAGCAATGCCATTGCGTTATATGAATTTTTTGGTGTACTCAGTGACACACGTAACACCGAAAGCGGCCGAGCCTTTTATGATATTGAATAAGACACATAATTTACTGCGGATTAATACGATTTTTTTTGTGACTCGTCAATAAATACAAGTACTTAAAACATTTATATACATCTGCTTCACACTTCGAAACCAATTTTGAATTTCTTGCTTTGTTGCAAATCATTTCTTTACATTTTTACATATTTTTCAAATGTTTTCGTATCTCCGTATACAAATAATGTAATGTGCAACTGTCTTAGTTTACCGAGAGTGGACTGTGCAACTGCTTTTGTTTACCAAGAGTTTATATCGCGGAACAAGGCTTAATTCAAATCATGCGCAAGCACGTTGTCTGCACCTAAACACCGTGTATATCCAGTAACGCCGGAATGTGAAAATAAATGGCGGATACCTGACAGGATTTCCAACGCGGTTAGAAAGCTGGGCAATATATTTTTAATCAACCGAACTGAAATAAATCAATAGCCGCATACCGCTGCATACGGCTGCGAAGACATAACTCTCTTTATCCCTTAAGATTATTTCCACGAAATTGTTTACTTTTCAAGATCATTCGCGTATTTTTTTCAGTTCGGTTAAATAAAAAATATATTGGCCAGTTTACCTACCGCGTTGGAAATCCTGTCAGGTATCCGCCATTTATTGCACAATTCTGCGTTACTAATTGCACGAATATTGCGTTATTTTCACATTCCGGCGTTACTGGATATAAACGGTGCTAAAGGGGAATTGTTTTTCATTTGAACAAAGCGCATCGCTTTTAGGAGCTGTTCAATGGCACTGTAACACAAATCTGGTTTTCTTGTTTAATACTTTTAGAAACTAGGATACAATTTCGTTTTGAAGAAATTTATTTGTATTTATCTTGTTTTCTTTTTCTTTCTTTTGAGAGAATTTGGATAGTGCTGTGTGGCTTCCAAAACTTTAATAGCCGTTTTTCTATAGTAAAGCGAGGTCACACGTGTGCTTTTTTATTCTGGCGATTTGATGCCTTTAAGGTCTTATTATATCCTATGTTTATGCTCACATTTGATGTTTTATTGTTGTTCATTAATTTTGCTTATTCAAGTTGATTTTTTATTATAAATAATTAAAGTTCAAGGCATAAACCATAACGAGCGTCTCATTACTGTCTATATATAAAGATTATACACATGGTGTCAAATTCTTGAAACAATACAATGACTTAAGAGTAGCCGTCCGCAGAATTGTCGTGTCGTAACGCTTCCTCTTCAATTTTAAAAACTGCGCAGATCTGAACAGATATTCGTCTAGGTATACGTAGCATTCTATTCGGTAATTAAAGGTATGCAATACACAGCAGACCATTCATTTACAGCAATTGTAACCTAGCTTGTTAATTATTTGAGAAATAACTTCTGCGACTGTCAACAAAACTAATTATCAAGACTTTGAAATCTTCACATTTAACTTAGTATACTCGAAGAAAATAATAATAAGTTTTCAAGGGTAAATGTGTGACTTGTTTTATCCGAAAGTTTTCATTCATTCATTTTCTTTTTCTCATCATTCTTTTAAGTTTATTGATTATCGTGAAAATATGGTTCAAAGAAGTATTTCTTGCAAAACTATTTTAGGTAGATTCTGACACAGAATATTCGTTTGATCGTCATGCACCAATTTTCAATGCTGACAACTCTTCGTGTAATCCCTGTGACGACGACCCACTTGCATCATTTACGATCGGTTTTATCCACACCGAAACAAACGAAAGTAACTCTAAAAAAGTGTCATTTAAAGTGAAAATCTATCACGAAGATTATCCATCAGATTTCATGATGCTAAACTTTGGAAATGAATACACAGTGCGAGGTAAGATAAATGGAAGATGTATTATGCCATTTAAGTCTATATTTACGTTTCATTCATATTTTAATTTATGCACTTTATGCACTTTGGTTTTACATAGTACAATAATAAACCTCGAAAAACAAAAGAAAATCAAATTTTGTTAGCATAACGAGAACAAAAAATAAAGAGAGTGACAAGACAAAAAAAAACAGGTTTTTTTTTTGTTTTGTTTTTTTTTTTGTTTTTTTTTTCTTTGCATTCTTTTTTGTTCTGTCGCTTTATTTTTTTGTGGTCGTCCCTCTCAACTGCTATAAAAATAACGAAACGGCAGAAATCAGCCACCATACAAAATCAAATTTCAAAAAGAGTAGTTATTAATAAATAAAACATTACTGCCTGATCAAAAAATACTTATTTGAAACTGGAAAACTTTGTAAATAATTAATTTGTTCAAATAAGAAATTTTAAGATCATTTAAGTATAGTTGTAGTGACTTTAATGATCTAATAATAGAACCTAAATAAGAAAACAGTTTTGTTCCATAGTACGTTGTAGTTTCTAATAACTTTCTCAGTTGAAAAAATGCTTAACGATCAAAATCAAACATCTACAGACCCAGATCTTGTAAATATGATAATATATAAATACTAAGGTCATCACTCTATTTACAGCTTTCGGATACATGTACAATAACATACCATGTACTACAAAATGATTAATTAAAAAACCCATAGAGCGCGATTAATTGACGGAAGATTATTTCATCTGAATATGCTTGTATTGTGAAATTCTCCAGTTCGCTTTTCATTGTACTATCGCGAGATTTCATTTTTAATAATCAAACACCCTCCAATCGGAATGATCGGCTATTATGACCGACTAAAAGGCCCGAGAAGTTGCAATTGCCCTTTCACAAAATCTGATTTCATTCCATTAGAGGCGCCGTGCTTCGGCGTGGACGCCAATGATATTACAGTAAGGACTTGTCTTGTGGGTGAACAAATTAACTCATAATTGCTTTGGAAAACTAGTAAAATAACAAACAATCACTGGAATATGTATTATACCCCTTGTTGTAATTTTACAAGCCCCATTCCTGGAACAATAAAAATTTCTATAATTCAATAGTTGTTTTCTATATATAAAGGAACATATGATTAAATTGATGACATGATTGGTTTAAAAGCTAGGGCAGAGCATAAGAAACCTAATCTAGAGATCACATTTTCGAAAACCACTATTCGCGAGATTCTCCTTATTAGTTTGAACATATTTACATTAATGTAAATATACAAAAGGGTTGGGCCAAAAGAACATATTTGTAGATTAATTTTTTATACAATTACAAATGTAGGTGAAGCATACAATACTCACCGAGCGCAGCAATCATTATATTTCACTATATTTAGAATTTGTTTTCAGCTCACTCTACTGCACTAATATTATTGTCCCTATATTTCAAAAGCATTTTTATTTAAAAATAAAGCAAAATATATCATCATATTGGTAATGCCATCAGCATTATTAAAAAATCAACATGCCTTTCTGACTCTGACAATCATCACTATAATCATCCTTTGCATCACCAATGCAATCAACGTATATCGTGCTTTTTATCAGAATCTTCAGCAGCCTGACAATTTAAATTATAAAGCGGACATTCATCATTATGAGAAGCAATAGTATGACAACCATCATCAATATTATCATTATCATCATCAAAATCAATGAATCATCATCACCAACAGCATTGTTTTGTCAAATATTAAGATGACGAATAGCAGCATGTTCATTAGTATGAGGTATAGAAGTATCTTAAACAGCGTGCAGACCTGGGGTAATCATTAATTGTAATCATTGATTTTAAATTGATTACATGATTACACTGTTATCATTATGCAATTGATTACCTTGCCCAAAACTGATTAATTTAATTGTAATTTATCAATTACAGCTAACATTCAGTCAGTAATTATGATTACAATTTGATTGACATTGATTACTTTCAGATTTACCAGAAAACAATTTTAATTCAAAGGATGCCTTTACTTCACACGATACAGTTTAACTTTTGTTTTACATTTATACAGTAAAAGCCCTTAATTAAGAGCATCATCTGGGCTTAACTGTGGGGTGGTCTTTATTGTGAATATTCTTATCATTGCTTACACACTTTAGACCATGGTCTGTTTTAGTCATTTTGTATGAGAAAAAAAACTATATGTATCTTAAGCTACAAATACAATATAAAATACACTATCAAAAGTAGTATCTGATGAGAGGAAAACATATTTCTGAAGAAATTTAACATTAAATTCTTTTTGGCCAGATTCAAATATCAATTATTATATGATGTACATAAATTACCTATCAAATAAAAATTAATTCTTCACAAAATAAATGTGCTGAAAGCAACATTAAACCACTCTAAAAATTACCTTCTCACCTTATTTCATGCAATTAACAAATAATAACAATTTTTCACACCTTGTGAAATTCAGTGTCATGCAAAGCATTCGAGCAGATCATAACAACAAATTTAAGATCTAGATAGGTGTTGACTTTAATATCAGTGGTCTCAATAGTTGGGTCAAATTAAGAATAAAGCAAAGAATTTGGACTAAATCAGGTGGTCTTAAAATGGATAAGCGGTTGTTCTTAATTCTGGATCATGTAATCATTGACATAAAAAACCTTGTAAAAATAGTCTTATTAATGGGTTGGTCTTAATTCAGGGATGGTCTAAAGTAGGGATTCATGTAATCAATTATCAATCAATTACTCTCTTAAAGTAATTGTAACTTAATTGATTACCGAGGCAAGTCTGAATAATCAATAATAATCAATTACTGTAACAATAAAATCTTCCCTAGGTCTGTCAGCGCGATCATCATTTTCTAATTTATCATCAACATCATCATCATCATCATCATCGTCGTCGTCGTCATCATCATCATCATCACAATACGTGTAGTTACACATCATTACTTCAGTGATCAGCTTAATATTTTACAATTATAGGGACCACTGTCACCATTATAGGAAGCAGCAGCAGGATGTCATCATCAAAATCTCTGCAATTAGAAAACATACAGCCTGACCTGTACTCAAACTAGGAATCACAGGGATACTGTTCTGCAACTCCACTAACTTACTTATCGGGCTGCTTTCACGTTGTCCTTCCCTACGTAAACAGAGACATAACACTTCTCAGTGACTTTTGAACAGCATAAACGATACAGTCATGACCGCCCCCCTCTGGGTGCCAAATGTGTCAGGGTAAAAATGTGCCTGACCTGTACTCGAACCAAGGACCCTTGGAATAGAATTTAGCAGCCCTACTGACCTAGCTAATTATGATAGCTACATTTAATTTAATTGAATGTTCTATACCATGACACTATTTACATACTTATCGCTCATCACCATGATTATCATCATCAGCAACTTTAACAATTTTAACTATCAAGATGACCATCATCATTGTAGTGAACAGCAGCATATCTTCAATCATCAGAACTATCATCATCATCATCATCCAAATACTTACAAATGCTCATTTTTACCATCATGAACATAATTACTATTATTACAATCAACACACTTCTCCTCATCATAAAATCCTCCATGTAATCATCAAAATCACCATAATCATCATCATAATCAACATAATTCCGTTCATCATCACCATCATCAGCTTAATCATCATTATCAAATTACTTCTGCTCATCATCACCACCATCAACAGTTTCATTTTCATTGAGAACAACAAACATTTGCTCATCATCATTATCATCAACAACATATTTATTTCAACTTCTTAGACATAAACGTCACTATTTTGAGGAACAGGCGCAACATGTTTTCTGTTATAAACATCATCATCATCATTGCAATCAACATCATTCCGCGCTTCATATCACAATCATTTTCTGATTGCATTCAACATACTCCGCCTAATCATCCTATATATCATCAGTATTATCAGTATCATCAGTATCATCAACCTATGAAAGGCTCTTTAAAAAAAACTCCTGTTTGACAACCTCCCCCTATCAAATCTGGTACTCCTTGACAACCCATGGAAGGGTCTATAACAAAATTCGAAAAATACCCCATATACAACCTATGGACCGCAAAATAACCATTACCACTCTGTACTGACTATTCCCAACCTGGATTGTCATTTAATTAAGCGTTACCCCGACACTTACCCTGTGGAAAACCTCAGCTTTTTGAAACTTCTTCAAGGAATTATTTTTCCATTGCCTTAATTTTCTTTTTGCTAACAATGCTAAGAAATTAACTAGTCTTCCGGTATATGAAGTATAGGTCATAGGCTAAAATCACTTGCATCATACGCATTCGCATTGTCAACTAACTATTAAATATTACTTCATTTATTCAGAGAATGTGCAGCTTTCTTTAAATCGGATAAAACTTGAGGTGTTCTAAAATAAAGTTGGTGGTCTTGCGTATCGCTTTGTAAGAAACATAGTAATTGGCATTTCTCATACACTTGTCTGAAACGTTAAGAAGAATACCAAGTCGTCATATTGAAGGTATTTATGATACATTTTTGTAAGACATTTTTGATATGGATAAAAGGAAAATCTAGCCACCAAAAGTTTATCTTTAAATGTAAAGAGTGATTCTTTAGAATGGTGTATCACCTTTTTCGTGCATTTGCATTAAGAGGAACAGAAAGAAGCATTTTAGCCTGAGCCTGTAGGACATTTGTTTGAGAGTCCGACGGAAAATTAGGTACTTTATCGGTATTCGTTCACTTACAATATACGTCAGATTTGGTGATATAATGACCTGTGCCTAATGTTTTTCATGTGCAAATGGGATTGCATTTATTTTTTTTTTTTTGATGATGAGGAAACTATCGGGGCCATCATTTAAATAAGCTATTTTTACATGAAGCTCAGATACACGCATATTCAACATATTAACGCGTGCTTTGATTGGCTAATGCGTGTTTTCCTGCATGTACAGTTTTTGTGCCAGAATATATAATAAGACTTTAAGTTTAGACTTACTTTTTTACAACAATATCAGAAAAGTTAGTTATGGTCTCTATATGTTATATCTATGTTTTACATAAAAGTATATGTATATTTGAGACTTGAATAAAGAAATAAACCTAAATTATTCCTAGGACATTAGTTTAATATGTCCCAGAATTTTTAATTATTATCCGGTACGATAAACATTGTATATAATCTTTGTTCATGAAAAAAAAACATTACGATCATCATCATAAACTCGTCTATGCAATCTTCAAGCGCTTCAACGAGTTTATGATGATGATGATGTTCGTTTTTTTTTTCACGAACAAAGATTCTAAACAATGTAAACGGTATAAAACAAGATTATGACAATTCATTATGATAGGACGGTTGCTGTATTTTTTTTCTTTAATATCTGAAAAATATGATTTCAAGATGCTACCGTTTGTTAGAAAATAATGGTTTTCCAAAATTGTTATACATATAATAATTTTATATATATATTGTATATCAGATGTAGAATTCATTTGATAATAGCTAGCACATTAGTACAGTTGGCCTTCTTTTTCTGTATGACAATAACAACAACATTAATTATTATTTGTTCTCAGCTGATCAGTTGCATACAATTACACTATAACATTATTTTGCCGACCATGGATTGCGTAGTATCTATATATTCATAATTGTTCGTTCAGAATACACAAAATACACTGTATTTTAATGTACCTTTTGAATGTTTCTGTACTAGATACGCCGTTTTGTAATAAAAAAGTATTCAAGACATGCAATCATGTATTACCTCTTATACAACGTGCAGTTATCGATTTATATTTTAGATATGGAAAATGGAGAGCACTCATCTGGAAAAAGCAACAGTGTAGATATTGTCATTTTGGTTGCAATTTTAGTACCAATCATTTCAATAGTGACGATAACGGGACTTTTATTTTCATTTATTTTTTTTATTCGTAAGTTTGTACATTGATTTCTTTAAATTGGACTACAGTTTTAAAAAGAGATTTATATTGTCAGACATCTAGCTCCTAAAATTAAAACTTCTGTTTAAACATTCTTCTTAGCTTTATTCATGAAACAGTCTTGAATATATAGTTTTGTTAAGGGCGAACCAAACAGGCGAAAGTGTAACAAATAGAAAGTAATTCGCATAATTTATGCACACATCTTATTAAGAACTTTTGTTTCAGGTAAAAGAAAAAATAAGAATGATAACCAACACTTGGATACATTATTACTAGACAACGGGAAATATACAGGTATTATAATATATAGAGGATATTATCTACAGTATATAGTAAACTTCAGCTGCAATATTTGAATGGGTGACGAGGTGAAGTGTAATATCGTACAAGTATACGTTAAAGCACCTGCCAATGTATTGTATGCGCGTTTAATAGTTCCAAATCATTTTCACTGTTTGGCAATGTTTAGTATATAAAATCAGTTTTGTATATTTTTTTTCAATTTCTAATTAATTCACAATTTAAAATGATATATGCAAATATGTAATCATGTTCATTTTTCTTGCAAATGCTAGTATTGAGACAAATTTTGTACTCATATATTATTTACTCCTGTCTGCTGCATTGAAATATATTGGAATTAAAATTTGATAATTTCACTGTGAAATATTAGAATATAATTTAATTTTATGGTATACTTAAAGCATGAAAAATATACTTACATTAAAATATATATTGTGAAAATGATTTGAATGATCTGAGTGGGGAAAACACACCGAAAAGAAAAGAACAACAACAAAAAAAAACACAAAAAAAACACCAAGCATTCTTTAAAAATATGATCATACCCATGAGTAAATTCAATACTTGTTTAAGATTTGCTTACATCCTATGATATAATTGTCCATAGTAGTATTCTTTTTAATATACCTAATCTATTGTCGGATTTTTTTTTATTCAATATAGGATTTCATTTGCTTTCGCATTAAGTATCTTCAATCATATATCTTGTGTTCAAATGACCTGAAAATATACTAAATCATAAAATCGTTTAAACATTAGTTTCCGAAATCACAAGACCAATAACGTAGATACAAGTAGACCTCTGCCATGTTTGTATCATTGGCATTGATGAGTTCTATGTAAATATTTTATTCTTGTCTAATTTAATACATAACAATATCTTATTTTCCTCTCAATATTTGCTTTCTATTTAATGTGTGATTTCACAATAATTTACAAACAGATATAACATTGTTCAAAACAGTTTTGGTTTTCATTGCTTGAAAAATGTCAACGCAAGACTTGCACTATCAATTAATATCATAACCAGATACACTAAATGACTATAACTTCTTTGCTTAACGGGTTTTTCGCCAGATTAACTTTATTTTTACCTATTATTCAATCGTTTATGATCGTAAGATGATAATTTATACACCTAAAGTGACACACGGTATACGCAACAACGCGTCAAAATCAAACAAAACTAATTAAAGAGCCTTTCACATGTAGACCAGGTCACATAAATTTTATGTGTATTGTCAATTATAGTGTATAAAAAATATCATTTTGTTTTAAATATTATTGTATTAGATTAAATCATAATTGATAAAGAAAAAAAACACGACACATGCTAAAATATCGATTGATAATTAAATAATAATAGCATCCATGTATTGAATGTATCAATACATATAAAAACAATAAATCAATAAGTCGGTCGGTCAGTCAGTCAGTAAATCAATCATCCAATCAATCAATCAATGAATACTTTACAATATGTACATGAAACAAAAACATTCGGTTTCAAGAAACATTAGTCTAAACAATAACGAGTCGAATTATTTTAATGATTAAACACTTTTAAGATGTGATGAATATGTCACCGGCCTTGATACACTTACTTTACAAGCTTACATGTACAAATGTGTATTATGTGCACAACTCGTGTGGATTTGAACTTCCAAAAATATTTAAGCAGTGCAGATTTGCATAGGGAATTTCTTTCATCTTTCGTAGGTATTGACCCTTTTCAAATTTGACTGCTTGCATTGTATGTTAAAAATTGTCTTTATTGTCTTTAGAAGTGCCTTAAAATAAAGCTTGTATTATTTAATATTATTCTAACTTTGCTTCAAAAAATAGATAACATATTAATTAAGGAATACTATTAAATTTTGTTATTAATACATATAATTCTAATAGAAAACTGGTAATTAGAATGCTAAATGAGTGTCAGTCGTTTAGCGCGTTACTGGTTAATCTTTTTAGTTGCTGATACACGAGCTGACTTTTCCCCCCCCCACCCCGATTAGTTTTAGAATGATTTCCATAAATAGATTTAGACGAATGATATTGCAACATTAACATTAAGAGATTTGTATGAATTGCTATTGCCTTCAGATACATTGTGTTCAAATGATGTCGAACAATCTCGCCACATAATGTTTGCATTATTTTATGCACAAGTTAATGAATGCGTTTTCTTTTAAAAAAAAGGGTACAACTTCTTTACTTTATTTCAAAGGAGATCATCTGCAGTAGTACATCAAGTGTATGAGTTAAAAAAAATAATAAAAAAACATGTTGTCTCATATAATTAAAGCAAGAGAAAAACATCAGAAAAAGTATGACGAAAATGTAAAATTTTAAGATTGAAATACTGGTGTACTTAAGATTGTTTACTGACAGAAAAGCAAGTCGTGGCAGATGAAAGGAAGAACCCAGGCAAAGTGAAAGGACCTTCAAATTATGGGTATTATACAATCAACCTCTTTCTTCTTTTTGCAAGTTTATATGAATTTAAATACAATTCACTAGATAAAATAAACTTTACATTGTAAGACGTTTCTTTATACTATATTTATCCCTATAAACATAAGGCTACTGGTCACTTTAAGAAAACCTTCAGAATTATTTTGTTATAAAATGTATAGGTGGAGCAAAATCAATCCACATGGACTGATATTGCCAGCAGTTAAATACTGTTCCAACGAACCTTTAGTTTTTATAATACAACAAAAGTAAAACAACCACGGACATGAGAAAGTAATATAACAAACAAATACTTTTACTTCAAACTACCCTTTAAGGTATATGTTTTATAAAAAGCGTAAGTTCTAAATTTTTGATCCAGGTGTGATCATCCGAATTGTTACAGCAAGTTAATTAATTAAAAAACAGCATATCTTACATATATTTGTGTGTGTAATTTTAGATTACATATATTCGTGTGTGTAATTTTAGAAATTCAAATCCGTTAGAGCAGGCGGGCGATAATCAAAATCCTGAAGTCATTAATGCAGGTTCTACCACATCAGACACGTTAAATACAAAAGGTAAGAAATTCATGATAAAAGACATCAAACGAAACAATGCTATGAAGATTATTTGTCAATCAATTTATTCCATAGATATAAGTGTACATGAAAATATATGTTTCTACATCATGTCAAAAAGAAATCACACATGATAAGCAAATGCAATACATGATCAAGTTTCTTAAAGCAAATAATAAATGGGAACATCAAATGAATCGTTTTAGTCCCATATATCTGAGTTTTAAAAGGAAAATATATTTGAAGATCAAAGTAAACGTTATTACTCTAAACATAAAAGTTCCAATTAAATATGATTGACAATACAAGAAGCATAACTATAGAGCTTGTAGACACATATCTTATGGATGAAAATTGAAAATTATTAGATTTGAAAACTGGTGTACTAATTCTTGTTTATTGATAGAAAAGCCACCGGTAGCAGACGAGGACAAAGCACAAGACAACGTAAAAGAACCTTTAGTTTATAGGTAGTATACAATTAAACTCTTTCTTCTTTTTTACAATTTTATATGCGCTTTGAATGGAAATCATTAGGCAAAAACTAACTAAACATTATAAGACCTTTCTTTATCAATATAACTATCACTATCCTTATCTCTATAAACACAAGTCTAATGGTGATTTCATGAAAACGTTAAAAAATTATCAATCATGTTATGAAATGTATATAAGATAGCTAATGTTGCAGAATGTATTCCAACAAATTGATATTGCAAAAAATAAAATTCTGTTTCGACGAACCTGCAATAATTATAAAGCAACCAAAATCAAACACTCTCGCATAACAGAAAGGAATATAACAAACATATACATTAACTTAAGGCTATCATTCAAGGTATGTGTTTTATAAAAGGCATTAGTTCCAAATATTTGATTCGGAGGTGATCAACCGCATTTTTACAGCAAGCCAACTAATTAAAAACAGTCTATCTCACATATTTTTGATTGTGTAATTTAAGCAATTCAAATCCGTTAGAGCAGACGGACGATAATCAAAATCCTGAAGTCAAGAATGCAGGTTCTACCACATCAGACAAGTTAAATACAAAAGGTAAGAAATTCAAGATAAAAGACATCAAACGAAACAATGCTATGAAGATAATTTGTAAATCAATTTATTTCATTGATATTAGTGTACATGAGAATATATGTTTCTACATCATGTCATGAAGAAATCACACATGATAAGCAAATGCAATACATGATCAAGTTTCTTAAAGCAAATAATAAATTGGGACATCAAATGAATCGTTTTAGTCCCATATATCTGAGTTTTAAAAGGAAAATATATTTGAAGATCAAAGTAAACGTTATTACTCTAAACATAAAAGTTCCAATTAAATATGATTGACAATACAAGAAGCATAACTATAGAGCTTGTAGACACATATCTTATGGATGAAAATTGAAAATTATTAGATTGGAAAACTGGTGTACTAATTCTTGTTTATTGATAGAAAAGCCACCGGTAGCAGACGAGGACAAAGCACAAGACAACGTAAAAGAACCTTTAGTTAACAGGTAGTATACAATTAAACTCTTTCTTCTTTTTTACAATTTTATATGCTCTTTGAATTGAAATCATTAGACAAAAACAAACTAAACATTGTAAGACCTTTTTATCAATATAACCATCACTATCCTTATCTCTATAAACACAAGTCTAATGGTGATTTCATGAAAACGTTAAAAAATTATCATGTTATGAAATGTATATAAGATAGCTAATGTTGCAGAATGTATTCCAACGAATTGATATTGCAAAAAAAAAAATTCTGTTTCGACGAACCTGCAATAATTATAAAGCAACTAAAATCAAACACTCTCGCATGACAGAAAGTAATATAACAAACAAATACATTAACTGAAGGCTATCATTCAATGTATGTGTTTTATAAAACGCATGAGGTCCAAATATTTGATTCGGAAGTGATCAACCGCATTTTTACAGCAAGCCAACTCATTAAAAACAGTATATCTCACATATTTTTGTTTGTGTTATTTAAGCAATTCAAATCCGTTAGAGCAGACGGGCGATAATCAAAATCATGAAGACATTAATGCAGGTTCTACCACATCAGACAAGTTAAATACAAAAGGTAAGAAATTCAAGATAATAGACACCAAACGAAACAATGCTATGAAGATTATTTGTAAATCAATTTATTTCATAGATATTAGTGTTCATGAAAATATTGGTTTCCACATCATATGTCATGTAGAAATCACACATTATAAGCCAATGCAACACATGATCAAGTTTCGTAAAACAACCTAATTAAAGGAGACATCAAATGAATTGTTCTGGTCCCTTATATCTGAGTTTTAAAAGGAAAATATATTTGAAGCTCAAAGTAAACGTTATTACTCTAAACAAAAAAGGACCAAATTAATACGGTTGACAAATCAAAAAGCGTTACTATATAAGTTTGTAGACCCATATCTTATAGATCAAAATGGAAAATTACTAGATTTGCAAACTGGTGTTCTAATTTTTGTTTATTCATAGAAAATCCAGCGGTAGCAGGAGAGGACAAAACACATGACAACGTAAAAAATCCTTTAGTTAATAGGTAGTATACAATTAAGCTCTTTCTTCTGTTTTCAACAATTTTATATGCTCTTTGAATGGAAATCATCAGACAAAAACAAACTAAATATTATAAGATATTTTTTATCAATATAACCATAACTATCTTAATCTCTATAGACACAAGTCTAGGTGTGATTTCATGAAAACGTGTAGAATTATCATGTTATGAAATGTATAAGGTAGCTAATGTTGCAGACTTTATTCCACCGAATTGATATTGCAAAAAATAAAATTCTGTTTTGACAAACCTGCAATGATTTTAAAGCAACCAAAATCAAACTTTCTCGCGTGACAGAAAGTAATATAACAAACATTAACTTAGGGCTATCATTCAAGGTATGTGTTTTATAAAAGGCATTATTTCCAAATATTTGATTCGGAGGTGATCAACCGCATTTTTACAGCAAGTCAACTAATTAAAAACAGTCTATCTCACATATTTTTGATTGTGTAATTTAAGCAATTCAAATCCGTTAGAGCAGACGGACGATAATCAAAATCCTGAAGTCAAGAATGCAGTTTCTACCATATCAGACACGTTAGATACAAAAGGTAAGAAATTCAAGATAAAAGACATCAAACGAAACAATTCTATGAAGATAATTTGTAAATCAATTTATTTCATAGATATTAGTGTACATGAGAATATATGTTTCTACATCATGTCATGAAGAAATCACACAATCATGATAAGCAAATGCAATACATGATCAAGTTTCTTAAAGCAATTAATAAATGGGGACATCAAATGAATCGTTTTAGTCCCATATATCTGAGTTTTAAAAGGAAAATATATTTGAAGATCAAAGTAAACGTTATTACTCTAAACATAAAAGTTCCAATTAAATATGATTGACAATACAAGAAGCATAACTATAGAGCTTGTAGACACATATCTTATGGATGAAAATTGAAAATTATTAGATTGGAAAACTGGTGTACTAATTCTTGTTTATTGATAGAAAAGCCACCGGTAGCAGACGAGGACAAAGCACAAGACAACGTAAAAGAACCTTTAGTTTATAGGTAGTATACAATTAAACTCTTTCTTCTGTTTTACTTTTTTCTATGCTCTTTGAATGGAAATCATTAGACAAAAACAAACTAAACATTATAAGACCTTTCTTAATCAATAAAACCATCACTATCCTTATCTCTATAAACACAAGTCTAATGGTGATTTCATGAAAACGTTAAAAATTATCATGTTATGAAATGTATAAGGTAGCTAATGTTGCAGAATGTATTCCAACAAATTGATATTGCAAAAAATAAAATTCTGTTTCGACGAACCTGCAATAATTATAAAGCAACCAAAATCCACCGCTCTCGCATGACAGAAAGTAATATAACAAACATAATTTATACATTAACTTAAGGCTATCATTCAAGGTATGTGTTTTATCAAAGGCTTGAGGTCGAAATATTTGATTCGGAGGTGATCAACCTCATTTTTACAGCAAGCCAACTCATTAAAACAGTATATCTCACATATTTTTGTTTGTGTAATTTAAGCAATTCAAATCCGTTAGAGCAGACGGGCGATAATCAAAATCCTGAAGTCATTAATGCAGGTTCTACCACATCAGACACGTTAAATACAAAAGGTAAGAAATTCAAGATAAAAGACACCAAACGAAACAATGCTATGAAGATAATTTGTAAATCAATTTATTTCATAAAATATCAGTGTACATGCAAATATTGGTTACAACATAATGTCATATATGTAGAAAACACACATGATAAGACAATGCAATACATGATCAAGTTTCTTACAGCAATTAATTAAAGGGGGCATCAAATGAATCGTCTGGTCACTTATATCTGAATTTTAAAAGGAAAATATAGTTGAAGCTCAAAGTAAACGTTATTACTCTAAACATAAAAGTACCAATCTAATACGATTGACAATACAAGAAGCGTTACAATAAAATTTGTAGACATATATCTTATGGATCATATGGAAAATTATTAGATTTGCATACTGGTTTACTTATTTTTGTTTATTCATAGACAATCAAGCGGTAGCAGGAGAGGACAAAACACAAGACAACGTAAAAGAACCTTTAGTTAAAAAGGTAGTATACAATTTATCTCTTTCTTCTTTCTTACAATTTTATATTCTCTATGAATGGAAACTATTAGACAAAAACAAACTAAACATTATAAGACCTTTCTTTATAAATATAACCATAACTAGCTTTATCTCTATAAAACACATGTCTAATGGTGATTTTATGAAAGAGTTTAAAATTGTCTTGTTATGAAATGTATAATATAGCTAATCTGCCTTCTGCAATAGTTCCAAATGATGAGTGGTGATACATCGGGGAAATAGTTTTGACATTCAACCATCATCATTATTATAAGAGTTCGTCTAGAATTGTCCCGTTTTGTAATGAATAACCGTTATTCATAATGGAAGAGGAAGGAAAAGTTGGTGCCGATTATTGATTTTTGTGCCACCGAAACTCCAATCCTTCTGGTAAATTAAAAGCAATCAACAACGCCTATCAAAACAATCACTCGTCTGTCATTTTATTTCTGCACATTATTTTAGACACGTGATTTAGAAAAATGATGATATGACCATACAGCATTGACCCGTTATAATAATTCAAGCATGTTAAATTTAAATAACCATGTTGTTTAACATATAAATGTTGATATTATTTCAGCGTGATCAACATATCAGAAAAGAATGACGATAGTCTAAATCCTGAATGCAGAGATTTAGGTACGACCACAAAAGATACTCCAAAGACACACACTTAAAAATAGTAAATAAATAATAGTATCAAAGAGACAAACATATCACATGTCAATTAATGTAACTCAATTAATCAAAATACAAATATTTCGATAGGAATATTGTATTTTTTTCATCTTGTCATGAATGATTCCAAATAATAATAAAATATACGTACATTTACTTGGTTTACAAAATGAAACAAAACACACTATCCTCCTATACACCTTTTGATAAATCATATCATAGACCTTTTTACGACGCTGTCCGGTGCCATGAAAAATCGATCGGACGTTGTACTTTCTCGCGCACTCGCAATCTGGGTAGGGAAAAAAGAGCATCACACTACATAAAAATATAGTAGAAGTTCAAAGACAATATCGGCTAAGTTTAAGGTAAAGGGTAGAAAATTATATAAAAAGCTTTTAATAAAAAAAGAAAAGATACCTTTATGGCTTTGTGGCCAAGATTGCCATAAAAAAGGCATGAACAAGATAAGTGTTTAAGATTTTCCCCTTACGATCACGGACCTGAAATTGAGATAATTATTTTAAGAAAGTGTGGAAATATATCTATTAGCAAATAAAAGTCAACTTATTGTTGCTGAAATAATTAATACAAAAACTAAGAAATTTCAATACATATTATAATATCGAATTCGATTATCATTCTGAAAAAAGTCAGAACAGGTGATAATACATTTTTGGGGTTCAATTTATTTAAGTCACATTAATATAATTATCATAAATATAGTTTTCTTCAAAATCTTGAGAAGTTAAGATGGATAGTGGGAATTGAAATAACATACATTTTATCCGGTTCCTCGTAATACATGCTACTTTTTAATGCACATCACACTATTTGTCACTTCACAAAATCAATAGACATTGATGAGATTGGTATATGTAAACATTACTTAAATAATGATTTTCATAATTGTACGTGCCCAACTATGTCATGGCACTAAAATGTCCCGGTTAACAAGTTGGAAACAAACACACGGTTGCGTGTCATTCTGTTTGACATATACCGCCTGGCCAAGGAAGTGTACAATACAAATTGTGAAATATTATGTAATACAGGGGAAATAAAATTTTAGCAATTTGAATTACTGATTAAAAAGTCGTCTAATGATACCGTAACCAGTACGACTTTCGTATGCGCTTTTTGACCATTAACTTATTAATCCCGAATATTGTCTTAAATCTGTTATAAATATCAATTCACGTTTTAAGAGTACTTACCCCAAAATTACTTTTCTTTGGTCGACATAATATGGAATCACGTCTATTAATGCCTTAAAGTTACGTACGGTAGTCATCATTATTGCGTTTTTGCCCTACGCAGAATGCGCATGCACGAAATGCAACATTCGTTATTATGGAAAAAATGTATTGTAAAAAGGTCTAAATACGAATACTTAATTGGCGTTTCAAACAATTTAATTGTTCATGTTGTTTAAGGAAAGTGTTTTGAGTGAAATATATCATACTATATCTATGATGCAATGAGACAATAAAGACACGTTCAAATAGGGAATAATAGACGACAACAAGGCTATGAAAAGAGAGAATATCGGAATATAGTAAAACAAGCAGATATAATTATAAATGTGTCTGTCACTTTTATTTCCTGATGGATTACAAAACAGTAAAACATAAGACATTTAAATCAACATATATGTGTGACAAATACATTTCTTTATGATCTAGCTATTATATTTGCAAGATATTTTATTTTTATGCGGACTTCAAGTTTTATGGAAGTTTTATTTGCATTAAAAATTATACATTTTTGTTGTTGTTGTTGTGTTTTTTATATTTTCCTTTCTTTCTTTTTTTTTTTTTTTTTTTTTTTTTGGGGGGGGGGGTGGGTGCGGGTGAGGGTTAGATAAACGGAATGAGCATGAAGTTCTCCTAATCTATCAGGACAAACAAGTATAATGATGTGAAGAGTCACAAGCAATGTACAAAATTAACCTTGATTATTGTTCTATTTGCAGTTGAATATCCGAAGCACTAATCATTTTTTCTTCATGTTCTTGGTATATGCTGGTTGTTTAATAATTAAGTTGCATTTTTTTTTGTGAAAAAAGAGAGCCTAGTGCATAAATTCTCTGTTATGCCATGTCTGAAATTCTGAATAAACCAATGTTTGTCTGTTGCTACAAGGATTAAAAGGTCTGCTCGAAGCAAAATTAATATTTGTATTAATCGCGTAAACAAACCAAATTCCACCTAGCCTAGTACAGAAACGTTCTCCGACTGAGGCATTATAAGACGTTTGTACACTGAATTTAAAATCTTTAAATCAGTCCTTTTTTACATTAAAATGTAAGTTTAAACTTATTCGTGTTTGTTGTGAATTGCAGATGTTCCATCTAAAATTACTCTTAAATATAAAGGAGGTTACAATTGATTGGAAATCGCATTACGGTTAGTATAGGAACTTCGATGAATTATATATTGATCTCGGGTTCTCTGTCCAACTTTGGTTCCTGTCATTAGAATGTAGACTAGCCCTTTGACACCTTATTTGTAGGGTTCATAAAAAATATGAAAATAAAAGAAAATATTACATTCAAACATGACAATATCACTTAAGTTCAAAGTTTATTTTGATATTTTGATTCCTTATTAAAGCTCGAAGCCATGTTGAACATCAGAAAAGCTTCTTTTATTAGAGAATTCGAAAACAATGTAAAATAAATACATTAATCATTTTTTTTTATGATAAAAAGCAAAACTAAAATGTCCCCCATTTCTGAATGACCGAATGCGTATTTACCAGCCGCCGCGTCCACGCGGCGTCTAATAAAACGTTTAAAGATAACAAGAAAATAGTTAAAAGTAAATTCTGAGAGTGCCTTATATATTTCTCATGATTTTATTGTAGTTGACATGTTCGATCTTTATTATATTTTTCGATAATATCACGTAAGTCAAGATGTTATCAAAAATCGTAATCCTGAAAAAAAATGAAAATAAAACAGATGAGAGTGCATCCAATTTTTGAATAAATAGTTAAGGAAAAGTTGTATCACTTAAACCCGATAACATGATTGACAAGTTCTTACTAACAATTAAACGCTACACAAATAATTCATGTAATCCTTTATCTTTTAAATCTGTTTTTTTAAACCTTTATTTACTTGTGTTTAAAACGTGTTATATATAGTTTTGCGGTATTTATTTAGAAAGAAATATATTTTGCTATGTTGGCCTTTGTATAAACAGAACGTCTGTTACTAGTTTGACTGGTTCGACTGGAATAA